TAATGAACCCAGACTTGAAACCACGGTCTTCTCCTGCAGCACGATCTTTTCCTGAGATTTTAGGATGCCCACCAGTTTCGCCAAAGAATAGGATTTGAATTGCTGGTGTGCTTTGACTATGGACACAATTGCTCTCCACTCAGACCTGAGTCCATTTAAAAAAGTAACCTTCTGTTCAATAAGCTTCCTTTCGATGTCATGTTTGATCATCTTGCTAAGAAGATGATTGAAGCGATCAAACGTTTGAGTCACTGTTTCTTCTGTTCCTTGCTTGAACTCACCAAACTCAGACAAGAGTAAGGTTTGAATGGAGTGTTCAAGATCTTCATCTGTAGAGTACAATTCACGTAGCCTGTCCCATATCTCTTTAGTAGTTGTGCATGAACTTACCAGCCTAAAGGTATCGGATTGAAGAGCAAATCTAATCAATCTTAGCTCTTTGATATTGCACTGAAATTTAACTTTTTCATCTTGCGCTACATCTTTAACATCTTTCAGGAGATCATTATACTCCTTTTGAGTTTTAATAATCCTTGAAGTTGCTGAATGAGAAAACGGTCCAGAGATAATTGCTTCCCAGATGAGGTATCCATTATCCTCAGATCCCATGACATAATCTTCAAAGTGATTCGCCCAGACTTCATAATCATGGGTGTACAGGATGGGAATCTTTGTCGTTGATCCAATGTTGTTTGAAATATTGATGGGATTGGACTGTGACTCGTCCATAATTGATCGAATAACCTGTTCAAAGATCAGACTTGTAATATATCGAATTAGGGCAAAGATAATAAATATCGAGATACGTTAATTATGAGATGACGGCTCAATAAATATCAATGAATGCGGAATAACCCTAATCGAAGCTTTTTCACAGAAAAGAAGTGTATGGATTACACAGCCTCCTGCTCTGATACCAATTGTTGAATTTAAGAACAAACTTAAAGATCGATTAGATCTATGAAATAGGTAGATAAATGACTAAATAAACAATAAAGAACAAGCTAATGAATCAAAAGGTGTCGAATGATTCAATAAACAATCCTCAGAAGAGCTCGATAAAAAACGTCACTGTAGAGGATTTTAGGGTTTACAATATTCAATGAGAGTGATGACCGTTACCATACGCATACATGCATGCATATATTTATAATGAAACCCTAACAGTTTTTCTAAGAAAAAGAAGGCTAATCTAGCTGAACACGGATTGACAAGCCCAATCCGGTTGTAAAACAAAAGGGCCCAAGACGCAACTCTATTATCTTCAACACACCACATAACTGACCTTGGGGGCATTTCATCCTTCGAAATCACATTCTCTTCAATCTTGATAAAAAAAAATTAATTATAAAGAATATGAAACAAAAGCATGTTAAATAAAATGATATGAAGTTAATGTAGCTAATGACCAAGCTTACCAACTTCCTCCTAAGAGTTGTATACCCCCCCTCGTCCCATCCGATGAGCATACTTTGACATCTTTCTCGCTTTAATAGTCCTTTGTGACACATTCTGTGAAATAGAAGTAACATATTTGTCACGAACTTTTAGAACCCAGATTATGATAAATAAATGAAAAGGTTTCAAAAAAAGATTTTAACATTAAAATCTTGAGATTGTGTATAAGTCACAAATTTGTTCCAATCATCTTGTTCAGTGATTAGTGCACGATAATGAACTGGGTTTTTTTCAAGTTTTTTGGTATTGCCTAGATGTGGTTTGATGTAATCTGCATACAACTTTCTTCTGAAATTTCATAGAAGAATACCAAGTCTATTCATCACAAATTGTTTTCTACTTTCATGAACCTCAAAATAGCACTAACAAAATGAGAATGTTAGTATTTAAAACTAGATTTTTACATATATTATGTTATACAGATTAAAAAATTGAAGAAAATATTTACTGTTATCTCTTCCTATAGTTTGTCCTTCATTTCCGGTTTAACTTTTTTCCAGCAAATAACACTTAATCCCACCTTCTCGCGGACAAGATCACCCAAATAGCTAACAAAGACTGCATTATTCTTCCTTGTAAATTTACTGAATTCATCAAGCCTGACACGTTGTTTTTCACAAGAATTGACATATTCAGTCTTCAGTTTTGGCAATCGAGTCATGCCCCCCTTCCTATTTGACCTTGTAGGAACTGTTTTATGGATTTCTTCTTCCGAATCTGATTGGCTATTGTAGTGAATGTCTTTATTTTCACCATTCTCTGTATCTGAATCATATTCTTGGTTTCCATCATCTAGCTCATATTTTGTATTATAGTCAGGGATATCCTCATGTTGTTCCTTGTCAACCTCCATGATTCTTCTGTTGACAAAACATATTGAAAATAAATTTGATTGTTTATAAGTTTAATGATAATGTATGAACATATAATATTATAGAAAATTGCTCACATAAACATTTCATCGAACAGTTGGTGTGCAAGAAGCACACCAATATGAAGAATCAAAATTCTTTTGTGTTATGCATGATCTGTGATCAATACAGTCAATAACATTGAAACTATACGTACACAAACAATATACTTACACTAGAAAGCTTGATGAATGATGAACTGAAGTATGATCCTTCTGGGATATTACCAAATGCTAAACAATACAATGGTGGAATAAATGACAGTCCATTAAATATTAAAATCATTTAATAGGTCCTAAATTGATGGAGGTTACCTAAAAATTACCGAAATTTCCTTCATCCGATGGATTGATCTTCATAGTTTTGGCGGGCGATAGATGAAGATTTCCCGCTTTGATTTGGAGCCCAAAAACCATACAAAAAAAATATTTGCCTCTCATTAGTTTTTGTTTAAATTCGTTTGACATATTCAAATGTGTTTTAAATTTTGATCTCATAGTAATCCCACATGATTAGAAGAAAAATCGTGGTTTGGAAACATGTACTGCCTTTTCAAAAATTAGTATGATTTATTTGGTAAGAATATAAATATTACATATTTGGTCCTTCTAAGTTAACACTTTATTTTTTGGAAAAACATTTATGACTATTTGAAATAAAAAATATATAAAGTTAAAAAATTAAATATACAAGGGAAAAATATTACTATATAACAAAAATAATAATATGGTCCAGTAAGCATAATTATTTATAATAATAATTTATATGCCATAACTCCATAAACCAATGACTATCCTATGGTATTACACACTTACAACCCGTACATGACATACTGAGGTCCAAACCCACAACCAAGGCCCATACATGACCTAAAGAGGTCCAAACCCACAACCAACACTTGTACATGACCTAATGAGGTCCAAACCCACAACTAACACCCATACATGACCAATTGAGGTCCAAAGCCACAACCAACACCCGTACATGAACTAATGATGTCCAAACCAACAACCAACACCCATACATTACCTAAAGAGGTCCAAACCCACAACCAACACTATGGACATGACCAAATGAGGTCCAAACCCACAACCAACACCCATACATGACCTAAAGAGGTCCAAACCCACAACCTACACCCATACATGACCTAAAGAGGTCCAAACCCACAACCAACACCCGTACATGACCTAATGAGGTCAAATCCCACAACCAACACCCGTACATGACCAAATAAGGTCCAAACCCACAAGCAACACTCATACATGACCAAATGAGGTCCAAACCCACAACCAGCACCCATACATGACCAAATGAGGTCCAAACCCACAACCAACACCCATACATGACCTAATGAGGTCCAAACCCGCAACCAACACTATGGACATTACCAAATGAGGTCCAAACCCACAACCAACACCCATACATGACCTTATGAGGTCCAAACCCACAAGCAACACTTGTACATGACCTAATGAGGTCCAAACCCACAACCAACACCCGTACATGACCTAATGAGGTCCAAACCCACAACTAACACCCATGGATAACCAAATAACGTCCAAACCCACAACCAACACCCGTACATGACTAAATGAGGTCCAAACCCACAACCAACACCCATACATGACCAAATGATGTCCAAAACCACAACCAACACCCGTTCATGACCTATGAGGTCCAAACCCACAGCCAACACCCATACATTACCTAAAGAGGTCTAAATCTACAACCAACACTATGGACATGACCAAATGAGGTCCAAACCCACAACCAACACCGATACGTGACCTAAAGAGGTCCAAACCTACAACCAACACCCATACATGACCTAAAGAAGTCCAAACCCACAACCAACACCCGTACATGACCTAATGAGGTCCAAACCCACAACCAACACCCATACAAGACCTAATGAGGTCCAAACCCACAACCAACACCCGTACATGACCTAAAGAGGTCCAAACCCACAACTAACACCCGTACATGACCTAAAGAGGTCCAAACCCACAACCAACACCCGTACATGACCAAATGAGGTCCAAACCCACAACCAACACCCGTACATGACTGAATGAGGTCCAAACCCACAACCAACACCCATACATGACCAAATGAGGTCCAAACCCACAACCAACACCCGTACATGACCTAATAAGGTCCAAACCCACAACCAACACCCATACATTACCTAAAGAGGTCCAAACCCACAACCAACACTATAGACATGACCAAATGAGGTCCAAACCCACAACGAACACTATGGACATGACCAAATGTGGTCTAATCCCACAACCAACACCCATACATGATCAATTGAATTAAAAAATTCATTTTACATATTTATTAAAAATTTATATATAAATTTATTTTTTTGTTTGATAAAAAAAGCAATGCTAGTATGGATATTATATTTAACTAATATTGTAGATAGTTTTTTACATGAATATAATACATAGTAATGTAAATACTAGATATATTAATGTGTAATACAAAAATGTGTCATCATTATCGTAGCCGAATAGCCGTCGTTCAAAATCCACCTCTGTAGATTGCAATTAATCGGTGAAGTGATGGCCTCAATCGACGTCCCTTAACCTCTGACTGACGATCCTTATAAACCGTTTGCTTATGTCAATTGCATCATTCGCACATATTCATTACGTTACGATAACTTCGATTACTCCTTCTTCCTCTTTGAAAAAAATACGTCGATTTTCAGAAGAGAAGATGAATGCTGATCTGTGGGCCCGTCCGAACTTCAATCTCTGGATTGTAAGCGCAGAACCACCAAAAAACACACCGGTGGTTGAATACGAGAAACCAAACGACAAACGATTCACCATTCATGTTGTCCATGGTGGGCTATTTACAGACTACCTAATGAAGGTGTATCAACATACCCAAGTTCACTTCATTTCTTATGTGAACATCGATTTGTTAGACGTGGAGTTGGTTGGGCATTTTTCTAGAAGCCTTGGGTATACCAGTTTGGGGAACTGGTATCATATACCCATCGAAGAACACAGTGGGTTGTCAATGGTTCCAATACTGAATGATGAATGTTTGGAACCATTCAAGATGTTAGTTAGGGACCATAAGTTCAAAGAAATTGAACATCTCTATGTTAAACAAAGGCATGTGTTTGTTCAAAACAATTTCCCACACTTTTTGATGAACTCTCCAGCTAAACGTGTTGAGAAGCTTATTCACATGTTTGTAACAGAACATCCAATGGCTTCGGTTGATGATGGAATAGCATAGATCCAACATATGCTAAACATGAGAATTCCAAGAGAGAAAATGGAGGATGCTATGGACATGGCGAAAGAAAATGTCGTAGCATGGAAAACATAGCCTAGGTGAACTATGTTGTAATCTTTTGTGTGATTAATATAGAGTGAATATGATACTCTACTTTTGTACTTAATATGAAACTCTTTTATTTAATGAATTGTGATATATTATGTCTATAGGTGATATTGTTTTGATTATATAGTAAGTCTACATTTGATGTTATATATTATGTCCCTGTTTTGATATATTATGTTGTGAAAAAGGCATTGTTGTTTGCTAGCACAGGGGTATAACAGTCTATTACATGTTATATGCCCAAATTTGATGGTGTTTGCAATATAAATGTCTTAGGGGCAAAATCGGAATTAGTTATCATAATAATTTTATATGTTAATTATATCCATGTTTTGCATAACTTACAACTGAGTCATTTGTCCCGGTTTTAGTTAATATTTTATTAAGATGGCAATGTCCTTTGAAACTTAGTTGTAACCTGTATTTATGCTAACACATGGGTATAACAACCATTTATATATTATATGTCCAGATTTGATGTTGTTTTTAATATAATTGTCTTATGGGCAAAATGGTAATTAGTTATCATTCTATATTTTATATGTTAATTATGTCCATGTCTTGCATATTTGTCCCTGTTTTAGTTAATATTTTATTAAGATGGCAATGTACTTTGAAACTTAGTTGTAACCTGTATTTATGCTAACACAGGGGTATTACAGTCATTTATATTTTATATGTCCATATTTGATGTTGTTTTTAATATAATTGTCTTATTGGTAAAATGGTAATTAGTTATCATTATATATTTTATATGTTAATTATGTCCATGTCTTGCATATTTATCCCTGTTTTAGTTAATATTTTATTAAGATGGCAATGTACTTTAAAACTTAGTTGTAACCTGTATTTATGCTAACACAAGGGTATAACAGTCATTTATATATTATATGTCCAGATTTGATGTTGTTTTTAATATAATTGTCTTATGGGCAAAATGGTAATTAGTTATCATTCTATATTTTATATGTTAATTATGTCCATGTCTTGCATATTTGTCCCCGTTTTAGATAATATTTTATTAAGATGGCAAAATCGGAATTATTTATGCTAACACAGGGGTATAGCAGTCATTTATATATTATATGTTTTATATGTTAATTAAGATTGTTATAGCAAGGGTATATCCATCCATTAATTGTTATTATGATAATACAAACAAAATTATATAATTTCCTGCTAATTGTGTTTGTATTAGATCAGTTTTACTGGATTCCTTTCTCCTTTGGTTAATGTTTTTGTTTTTTTCGTAAATCAGTTATTTGAAAACAACCAGATACCCCACTTGGTAAGTGTCAATGTAGTTATTGGTATATTTTGGAGTGTCATGGGTTCGAACCCAATTACCAACACTTTTTTTTTCTTTTTTTTTTAATGTCTCAATATGTCCCTGATCATCCACTTTTTTATCACTTCTCCACATGCTCCTGATCATCCAGACTCATTGCTTAAATATCCCAAATTAGACAATATGAATTCCTATCGATTCAATATCTAATAACTACAAAGGCACTGCAACTACGTTTATTCTTCAACCAGAAATTGATGCGTCAACATCAAATTCATACAGGTACAAATACTACATTTAATTAATACAAGAAATTACAAAACAATTACCCTCATAATATGAATATTTGTTATCTCGTTGGGTCACGATGTATCTAATTATATTTTATTTTGAGTGAACAAGTTTTTTTCTTTCAAGATATTGGATTTATTAGTAATGTGATCTATTTTGTTTATGCACACAACTGTTTGTTAAAATGGGTCAATAAACAGGAAACGTATATTGCTTGTTGACTCTGTTGTAATTAAGCTGAATATAGATAAGTCTTGGATGGGAGCATACAGAACATCAGAAACCTATGTAAAAGGTGTTGCAGAATTTATCAAATATACAGTGCATAATTACAAGATTTCTAAACATATGGATCCTGCAGATACCCAAAAAAAAGATAAGAATTCCCTGTCCATGTGTTAAGTGTGTAAACCACATATCTCATTCAGTGGATGTGGTAAATGATCATCTATTCAGGAATGGAATTGATCAAACATACACAAATTGGAATAAGCATGGAGAAACAGAAGAACCACCAAGAAGTTATGTATATGAATATAATTTTGACATGGATATGTCAAACGATGTAAATTCCACAAACATGAACACTGAAATGCCAACAGATGCTGCAGAAACTGTAGAGATGGTTGAAGTTGTAGAAGAAAACTTTATTGGGAACCCTGATAAGTTTAGAGAACTGATAGAGGATGCCGAGAAGCCCCTATACACAGGGTGTCATAATTTCACAAAGTTATCTGCAATCATTCAACTACTCAACTTGAAGAGTGAGTATGGAGTATGAGATAAGTGCTTTATAGAATTATTAGTTTTGATAAAAAAAAAACATGTTACCAGAAGGAAACTAAATGTACAGTAGTACATATGAGGCAAAAAAAGCATTTAAGGTAATGGGTTCAGGGTATACTAAGATACATGCATGTTTCAACAATTGTATACTTTGGAGAAATGAATACACAGACTTGGCAGCATGTCCTACTTGTGGTAAATCAAGATGGAAGGTTGATGAACAAAAAAAATAAATTTACAACAATATTTCTGCAAAATGTTTGTGGTACTTTCCAATCATTCCGCGCTTCAAGCGTCTTTTCCAGTCTAAGACAACTGCAAAACATTTAACATGGCACACAACAGAAAGAAAGGTGGATGTTGGCGTTTTAAGTCATCCGACTAATTCACCAGCATGGGCTGCCATTGATGAAAAATATCCTGATTTTGCTAGCGAACCAAGAAATTTACGACTAGGCATTTCGGCGGATGGGGTTGATGTGAACATGGAAATAGGAGTCATAGTGTTTGGCCTGTTTTAACTATCATTTACAACCTTCCACCATGGTTCTGTATGAAGAGAAAGTTGATCATGCTTTCGTTATTGATTTCAAGAACACCAGGAAACGATATTGATGTGTTCCTAGCACCTTTTATTGATGATCTGCAATTATTACTTGATTTTGGAGTTGAAACATACGATGCATATGCACAAGAGCATTTTAAACTACGCGCAATTATGTTATGGACTATTAATGATTATCCTGCTTTAGGTACATTAAGTGGTTGCCCATACAACGGTTTTAAAGGTTGTGTTGTGTGTGGTGAAGAGACACATTGCATTAGACTCCCTGAATCGAATAAGCAGAGTTATGCTGGTCATAGAAGATTTCTACCATATGATCACCCGTTCAGAAGACAAAAGAAGGCATTCAATGGACAACAAGAGTTATCACCCTCTCCAGAACCTATGAATGGGGAGGAAATATATAACATGGTAAAATTTAGAATTATAAATGGGGAAAGGTTAATAAGGGAAAGGAGGCAGAAATCCAACAATCAACAACTGGAAGAGGTGGGAAGATAAATAGAGAGAGAGAGAGAGAGAAAATCACATCAAGTGGATACTTCAGATGTGGGCCAGCAAAATAATACATACTGGAAGAAATTCAATATATGGTATGGACAACTAAGGTATTGGCCCGACAATTTGGTTCCACATTGTATAGATTTTATGCATGTGGAAAAGTACGTGGGTGAGATTTTAACAGGAACTGTTTTGAACGTTCCCGGGAAGACGAAACATGGTTATAAAGCTCGATTGGATTTGGTTCATTGTGGTTTAAAACGAGATTTGCATCCTCAGATAGAAGGGAACAACACAACACTTCCCGCAGCAGGTTGTACATTGACAAAAGAGGAAAAAGACAAATTTTGTGAGACTTGATACAACTTAAGGGTTACTCAATGGTATTGTTCTATTTTTTCTAGTTTGGTGAGTCTAAAGGATAGGAAGTTGATCGGACTAAAATCACATGACTATCACATGCTCATGCAACAATTTTTTCCCATATCAATTTGATCTATTATGCATCCACCCACGAGAGTTGCTATTACAAGGTTTTGTTTCTTTTTCAAATCAATATGTAGCAAAGAAATCATAGTGGATGAGCTCGATAAGTTGCAAGAGGAGTTATGTGTAACCTTATGTCCTCTTGAGAAACACTTTCCACCATCATTTTTTGATGTGATGATTCATTTAACCGTTCATCTCACTAGGGAAGTAAAATTATGCGATCCAATATTCTTTAGATGGATGTACCCATTCAAAAGGTTTATGAAGGTTATTAAGGGGCACGAACGAAACAAAAATAGACCAGAAGGATGCATTGCAGAAGAGAATGTTGCAGAAGAGACAATTGAGTTTTATAGTCAATTCCTTAAAAGGATGGATACTTTTGGTATTCCACCTGAAAATCATAACAATTGTGGAATTCATAAAGGTGTAGATAGTAGCTGTATTACGGACGGTAACCCTGTATCAGCTGCTAAATCGGTAGAAGTTTCTATAGAACTATTCAGCAAAGCACATTTATTTGTATTGCAAAATACATCTGAAGTACTCCCATATATCAAGTAAGGTTTTTTACATGTATGTTTTTTATAATAATATTAACATTAACGTATTGACAGACGACACATGGAATTTTTGGAACATCTACACCCTACTAAACGAAAGGCACATCTAGAACAAGAGCATAGTAAAATATTTGGTCATTGGTTATGAAAGGAGGTATATTCTTTTCAAATATGTTGTGTTCTTTGTTATGCTTGTCTTGATTTCTTAAATTCATAATCTAATTACAATTCAGGTAGAGAGAGTTAAGGGCCTGTAGAGAAAGCATAACAGAGACAATGAGATGGATTTCACATGGACCCAATAAGAACATTATTAAATACGATGTATATGCTATTAATGGATATACTTTTTGTATAAAAGCTCGTGAAGGTAAAGTTTACCATAACAGTGGGGTTAGTGTTGTTGCAA